GCTCCTCTAATGGATTTGTGGGATATTATTCCTCGAGTGGGAATAGATCTCAAGATACTTTTTTTTTTTTTTTTGTTTTTTGCTTTCGGGGACATAAGAGCGACCTCTGGTGGCAGAAATTCCCATGCCAGGGGTTATCACTTTTGGGTGTCTTAGGTTATGTGGTTTCTGGAGGAAATACTTGGAACCTCTTGGCATGAACATTAGGTAAATAGTAATCAGATGGGACAGGGTGTTCTGTTTTGTTGAGTGAGTCACAGAATGATGCCTTGAACATCACCTTTGACCCCTGTCCTATGCTAGCAGTAGGACCCCCTTCCCTTCCCACATCTCTTCAGCTGTTCCTGTCCTTGAACCCTTTACCATGGTAACAGAACAAAGGTTTTTGTATTTAGTTTTAACCAGACCTCTAAGTTGGTTCTGATGATCATAAAACTAACAGATGAGTTTATGATCTCTGGAATCCCTTGCAAGGGAAACTACTGCTGGCTCAGACCCAAGGTCTTGCTCTTCCCTCTCCATCTTCGTGGGGTCCTGGGACCTCTTAGGAGACTCAGGGAATTGTTCAGGGCCTGCATCACAACTGGACTAAAGAACAACAGCAGCTCAAAGGTCTTTTGTTGCTTGTTCCTCAGCTTTAGTCAATTATTATTTTCCTTTGAAGAAGAATCACCTCTCATTGGCATGCAAATTGAGAATAAAAGAAGTGCCTTCCAAGAACAAGCCTAAAGAAGCAACTTCCTGTTCACAATTGAAAACAGGATTGTCCTCAATAAATGTGTACATGTCCACAGTGCAAGGCCCTGTGCCTAGTAACTCAGACACTATTGAGAACAGGCGGCCTCCCTCCTCTCCAGGGATTTGCGCTGAGTCTGTCCTGAAGTTGAGATGTTTGTAGGAGAGATGGGGCACAGCTCCTGAGTCATGCCAGCCTTAGCATTAACCAAAGATAACAATAGCATTTAATGTTCATTCTGCATCTGGGTGCCAGACATCATGACAAATGTTATATGTGTACAAAGTAAAATTTTGTCTTCTTTGAAGCGATTCAATTATGCTTTGAGTCCTTACTCTGCCAGGCTGTTGGGGATGCCCATGGCAGCTGTCCTTGGGTCTCCCCTCTATTAAACCCTGATATACTGAGGCTGTCATCTGGCTCCTCTTCATCCCGAGGGCCACCACCAAGATGCCTGTAGGTCCAGCCAAACTGTCTGTCCATCAGTCCCTGGGACTGACCTGCTTTCCTGCCATCGTTGGCACATGGAAATCTTGGCTGATCCTGGGAGTCCCTGCCCTTCCTGTTGGGGCTTTTCCTTCCCTGATCATTCCCCTCTCACACTGCCAGGAAGGCAGGGTGCGGTGCTCAGATAGCCCCATTGCTCAGGGTCCTTTCTCTATTCTCCCACCCTCAAATGCTTTTGTCTTCTCTGGTGGCTTCATTGGACAACCAGCCTTTAGTCTCCAAAGGACACAGGATTTTACAAATGGTGGGAAAAGCCACTGACTCAAATTGTTGCTAGTCATAAAAACACCAGAGAGAGAAAATGCAGAAGAGCCTACAGCGGCTATCAGCTCACTGGGGGGGCACCGGAAGAATCGGTCAGCCTTCCATATTCTTGGTTCCTGTATCTGTGGATTTAGCCAGTCATGGATCAGAAATATTTTGAAGAAAACTGCACCTGTAGTGAATGCATAAAGACTTTTCCCCTTGCATTATACCCTAATCAATACAGTATGGCAACTATTTAGATTGTATTGTTAAAAATAATCTGGAGATGATTTAAAATATTTGGGCAGATGTACTATGCTAATGTGTACAAGGAGCTTGAGCACCCTTAAATTTTGGTGTCAGCAGGGAGGGATTCCCTAGAACCAATACCCAGCCCAAACCAAGGGACCACTGAATAGAAAGTCAGACATTAATATTTCTAAAAGTTGTCCCTGTGCTGTCAGAGCTCCACTCCACAGATGAGGAGACAGAGGCTCACTGCATTATGTAATCTGCTTTAGCAGTAGGAAGGCCATTGTTTTTCCTTGAGGCTCTTCTCTCCCTCTGAACTGTACTAGACTCTGGGGTTTACACATCCTAAAAGGCAGTAAACTCTTCATCCAAATAGAAGATGGGGTTTCATCAGCTCAACTGCCCTGCTTCCTGGTTGCCACATGGTGTCGCTGTTGTCATTTAACCCTACAGAAGCTGGGGGCCTGCCTTCCTGAAGCCATCCCTGGCAGGCCCAGAATTCTTCAGGAACAATGGTCCCACCCTCCCAGGGTGAAAGTTAACCTCCTATGACACTCCTACTGCTCAGCAATGTCCACCCCCACATGACTGGCTTGCGTGCCTGTGTCTGGATGGACTCCAGGCCTAGCATCTTCTGGAGCCCCTTTTCTCTTTGGGTATCAACAGGCAGGGATGGGGCATTTTCCTTTAAACCCTATGAACACAACCAGTCTTACCAAACAACCTTTTCCCCCAGACAATGGAACTGTTAAGTTGCACTAGAGAAAGTGACTGTTTCTGTGGGAGAAAGATTGTCAGACACAGGCTACTTCCTGTGCTCCAGCATCATATGTGGCAAGTATGACGAGCTTCCAAGGAAGGCCCAAGCTGTACAGATCACTGGCTTTTCTCTGGGAAGGACTCTAAATTATGTCTCAGGAACTCTCTGGCACTTTTGTTACTAAGGAGGGGGACACCCCACTGCTTGGGCCTTAGAGTCTCAACCCCTGTCCAGTGGTTCTCAAATGTGCATGAACATCAAGGGCATCTGCAAGACTGGTTAAAATGGACATTTCTCCAGAGTGTGATCTGGTAGGCCTGGGGCAAGGCCTCGCAATGAGCATTCCCAACAAATGTCCAGGTGACACCAAGCTGTGGGCCCAGGACCACACTCTGAGGACGGGGGTGTGTGCCGTACAACTGTGTGGTTCAGATCCAGAGGCCTTCTCGGAGGGCTGGACTGGAGGAAAAGAGTCTCCCAGCTGGGGTGGGGAGCCCTGGGCATAGGGGCACCCCCAGAGGGCAGTGCAGGTGGAGGCCGAGCAGGAAGTGAGCAGAGACCAGGCTGGTGGGTGCTTACTGAAAACGAAGATCTGCGCCAGATTGGGGAGGTCCTGTAGGTTAGGTGAGGGGCTGAGATTTTATCCTGCAGTGCTTATGTTCTTTTTGGTATCGGGATCAAACTCTGGGCCTTGTGCTTTTGAGGCAGGCAGCAGAACCAGTGAGCTAAATCCCCGGCCCCGCTTGTGGTTTGTTTTTAAGCAAGGATGAAGGCCGACAAGGAAAGAGTCAGAAGAGGAATTTCGAGACCCTCACTTAGTACAGTGGAGAGTAGTAAGTGATGTCCGGGCAGTGCAGGGATGGTGGCCAGGAGACAATCCCAAGGGAGGACCCAGGAAACCTGGTAACTACCTGGGTGTGGGTGGAAAAGGCGGAGTCAAAGAAGATGCCAAGGTTCTGAACTGAGAACCCAAAAGAAAGATCTAACTTCAGGAACTAGGCCAGTCAGGTGAGAGCTGCTTTGGGGACACTGATCAGTGCAGACGTGGCAGGAGCCCCAGACTCGTCTGCTGGGACACTCTGGTCTGGCCTTTATTTGAGCAGGCCCCTGGCGGTGGGGAGGAGTGACAGTTTAATGAGGTGATTATGGCCCCAAATCCTATGAGAGCCTCATGGTGGTTTCAATTATTTTTGCAAGTTATTCTCAAATAAGCCAGCTTATTCCAGTGCTCTCATTTTTGTTCTTTTAAATTATACTGAAGAGCACAGGAAGAGATCCAGAGTGGGGTAGATGATGTAAAGTCGCCCAGACTCTGAGATCATAAGATTTGCCTGGGTGTTTGGTGAATGCATCAGTTGCTACGCCCCTTCCCAGGCTGGCAGCAGCATCGCCCCATGTGGAGTAAGGAGCAGAGGGCCAGGAAATGGTTAGCTACCTTAGCAGAATTGCCTGGGGCACCCGTTAAAATGCTCATTCCTTGGCTTTTTCAGAAGACAAACTCCTACTGCGAACAAAAATTCTTGATGGTGCCTAATAGCAGTTCAGAGGAAGGGCAGCCAAGTAGTTTGGAAAGTGAAATAATGTATTCCACCATCAAGGCAAGGGGGTGTCTTATCCCTCACCTCCC